TCTGGCTACGTCTCTGACTGTTGTAGAGGAGGGGTACATCTAAAGTTGTAATTCAGAGTGAAATCTGCTTCCACCAAAATAGTTTGAATCTGTTTTACATGAGGACAGACATTAGGAATAATGCAGATCAAAATATGGATTCCTATCAGAACGCTATTTTGACTCCCACAAACCATCAAAGGAATAAACATACATTTACTATGATGAATGGAAATCACAACTCATGACTTAGACCTTTTTCCTTTCAGTGTTCAGCAGAACTCGTTAAAGGAACACAAGTTACATGTTGGGGTCCCTGTGCCTCAAATGCCAAGTTTTGTCCCTAGAATTTGAGAAAAATGAAACAAATAATTTATGTCTGTTGCTTAGACTTTGCATTTTTTTCAGATTGGAAATGGTTTTACACAATGACAATGCTAAGCAACAGACATAAATGATTCATGGCAGAATATATATATAATTATACCCCAAACCAACACTGCACCTAACACCACATTTTCCAACATTAAATTCAGTAGAAGATTTCACACTACGGGGGCAAATGTTAGGCTTCTAAACAATCATAAAAGAAAGACATGAACCCTAGTGTCAAATACACTTTTTAGGTATCTATACTTTACTCCATAACTTATTTTTCTTTCTATTTCTGACTTCTACTCATTACATTTTCACACAAGTATCTGTATTTTCCTTATATTTTTAAAACAAACGTTACTCGTTACTCCTGGCTTCGGTTTAATGTTAATAAATATTTATTTAACGTCATGTGCGCCATCCAATGCAGATCATTGGCTTCATCGACATCTAGTGAAAACTAGTGCAATTGGTTGAGTCATATAACGCAAACACTCATTGGTTAGCTAAAGGAAATCATCAGAAGCAAGCAGGTGTTCTTCAAACTACAAACACGAATTATCTATGCCATGCTACAATGTCAAATTCAGAAAAAGATGATTCAGATAAATATCTAAAAGGACGGACACAGACGAGATGGAGACGGAGACCAACAAGACCTCCTTCATCCTTGGCCCTATCTCAAACAATTTTTTTGAAATAGTTGAAAATTTGATTCAATTCACATAGTGGCATCTGGCTGTTTTTTTTAAAGGTTTCTTTATACTTTTATACTTCAAGTAGTTTTTGGAGCACATACTTTTTCACTTTTTCTTGAGTAAAGAGGTCAAGTTGATACTTCAACTTTTACCAGAGTGTTTTTAAACTGCAGTATCCATACTTCTACATAAGTAACCAATGTGTGTACTTTTGACAGCACTGGTGTCTTCATTGTGACAGAACCATTCAATTCACCATCAAGGTACACCTACATTAACACGTGCGCACGTTTTTACCGCGAAAAACTCAAACAAGTGATTTTTCCATGACGCAATTTTTCTTTTCATTTAGGGCTCACAGGAAAAAAAGAACTTCAGGAGTCCCCCTCTCCCACTTTTACAAGAGGGGAACAAAGATTTACGTGACCGGAGTGTAGATAGATTCAGGACTACATGAACCTCCAACAAGAAGCTGAAGGAGCGCTTGCTGTTTGCCACAAGTTGCATGATTTGGATGCATTTAGGAAAAGTCCGCAATTAGGCATCGACACTCCTGGGTTTACGTTTAAGTACTGATTATAAATTTGAGCCCAATTAGAACAAATTGATACAATAGATAAATAAAATAGCAGCAAATAAAGTTATTTGGACAGATTTTACGCACAAGCACACTGTCATTAAAATGAGCTGTAAATATTTCCTTCATGTTTTATTCGTCTCCTTGTCCAGCTTTTAGACAATGGCGGTTGGGGTGCGTGTACAGAATGCATTGCTGTGATTCAGAGCCGCTGCCAAATCCACTCTGGGACCCAAAAAAAGCTGTCTGTATCCCACCCCCGGGTTTCCTCTGTGCAGCCTTCATTCACTATGATGCGCGCCTAGTTGAAGGACCCTCTCCGCACCGGTCCCCCCTCTGCATGCCCAAAACTTTCTAATGAAATCCCCGCACATTTTTTGACGAATATTGTTACTCTTTAGCGGTCAAGGAGGCTTCCCGATTAATTTATCAACAATTTTTATTGAGAAGAAAACTTCAGGTAAGTTCTTTCCTTTTTAAATAAATTACACTTGTGAATACATGTATATATTTTGATAAAGATATTGTTGTTGTTTTTTTTTTTAGAAATGTGTTGTTTCTGTGAAAAAACTAAATAAATGAACCCTTAATTAATCAATAAATGCTCTTTCTGTGTGTATAGAATATGGAGCCCAGTGCCACAGAAGGGGGAACTGAGAAGCTTGTTAAAACTCCTGTAAGTAAATAAATGCATGGTTTCCGATTTAAATATGACCCTCAGAAAAGTTATAAATCAATCGACGAATCAATGACGACCCTTTTGCATGACACTCTGAGGTGTCCTATGGTTTTTCTCTGGGATCTGTGTGCCATGGCCTGTAGACGCTGAGAGTCAGTGAGTAACATCTGGATGTAACATTGACCCTCCAGTTTTGCTGTCTGCAGCTGCTGCTCCAAGCAGGAGGGTCTGGCTCAGCAGAGGTCAGCTCTCCCAACGAGTGCCACAAGGTCACCAGAGAGTTTATAATTTGCAGAAACGGGGGACAGGACCATCAGTTTGATGTCCATTAACATGCGGAGCGCTGTCTTGCAGTTGAAATTATTGGTTATAATCGGATCAGGAGGCATGCCAGTTTTTCCTTGCTGCAAAAGAAAATAGGTCGACTGCAGAACCCAGCAGTTTGGAACATGTGTGGTGAGGGCTTTTTCTCTTCTTTCCACCAGCCGCCCAAGGTTATACTCAAACATGGCGTGGAGCTGGAGGAAGAACAGGAGGAGCTGGCTGAGCATCAGCCCCTGGAGCAGGAGGACCTGAACTTCGAAAGGTGGAAGCGCAGACCAGTTCCCAAGAGGACACTCCACCAGAAGATAGCCGACCTTAAGAAGTACCTGTGGAATGCAGAGACCAACGAATTCATGGGTCGCTCTGGCAAGAGCTGGAGTGAGTTTCTGAGCAATAAGAGGCTCTGTGTTCTGTTGCAAAAGTTATTAGTTTTATGAACCTAGATTATTAACCGTCTTCTAGATGGTTTTTCCAAGATACATCATTCAAAGATAATTTGAGAGTGGGAAATGTTCCTCTAGTCCAGTGTGTGTGTGTGTGTGTGTGTGTCTTCATGCTTGATGTTTACATAGGTGCATGGACAATTCAGAGAGTCACGACAAAAACAGACTGCCTGGGGACACGTCCCCAGCGGGAGGACACTGTTCTTGGCCTTGCATTGGCCAGGAATCACATTCCTCTAAATCTTACCATGCTCTCCACAGTTTTGTTCCCAAAGCCTCGGCGACCTTGCTGCTGAACCGAACATGCACAAGGCCCCTCTGCTGCAGAGGAACATGTAGACGTGCTGTGTTTCTTTAGACATTCACTGATCTAGCTTTTCTTTGGCTAGTGCTGACTTCCGGTCTTCCGATCATGACTTTGATCTTTGCTTTTTTAACTGAATAAGTAGAATATCAGCACGTCTGCATCAGTAAATGTTTTTTAATTTAAATGGTATATGTAAAGATTTTCTCTATTTTGACCTCATAAACATAGATCAGAGTCGACCAAGGGAAAAAGG